CTGTGAGGTTCCCCATGGCAACTGCCGCTTTGCAAGGACCTGTTGTCCCAGGCTCATGGGGAGACACACCACCCACATCCAGAAAGGCTGGCCCTGTGGGCGTGGCCCCTGAGAGGCAGACTCTGCGTGAATGAGCTTTCAGCTGGTGTTAGAAAGAGCGGGTCATTTATCTTTTATCATCATTAACCTCTCAGGTTAACGAATATTGCCTCTCCACTCTGGACAACATCTGTCCTTTCAGAACCAGATCAGTTCCTGCAGTAAACTCCCAGGCTCAATTACAGCATTTGCAGCCTGTGTATGAAAACACGTCTCCCCGTCCACCTTCTGACATCCGTTAACTCTGTAGTCAGAGATGCGAGGGTTGTCTATTACTCCAACCTGGTGTCGCAGAGACAAAGTCAGTAAGGTAAGATCTAGCATCTCTCTTTCAGCCTTATCTCTCCCAACCCCAACCCGACCCATGACCCTAGAAAGTTTAGCTCGTGTTTATTTGCCTGAGCTAGCATGCCCCTTCGACACTTTCCCCTCATCTGTGTTTAAAAATGACACCCCCACTGTGGGATTAACCCTCTTATTCCCGTAACCAACTCATTGGATCTCTAACTTTTTTCTTTACATCAGCCTCTTTTGGTTGAGAGATCGGTACCTCCCTGGGAAATAAATTCATTATTCTTCTCGTCTCTGGATTAAAAGATCTTAACACAAAAGCTTCTTCTCTTTCTTGTTTCAAATCATCTTCACTTTACTGCAGCCTTCTGATGTGCCTGAGTGCAGCCATTTTTTCATCTACCTTTAATAATTTCTCGTCTGTTTTCTTTAGTTCCCCTGTCATGTTTTCACAAAAACGCATCTTTTCTTGAATTAAAATATTATATCTAGCATTATCTTTTCCCAATGCAGCCGGTTTTACCTCATTACTTTGTGTTGAGGCGTCCTTCAAAGCTAGCTGACTCATTTTATGTAACTGGCTGATCTTCCTTTCTCTATTAGTCTCAGGTCTGTTCGGAGGTCGCTCAATCTTATTTGTGTCAAAATCGCGTTTTTCTTTTAATTTTCTGTAAACGCTCAGGTTGTCATTTTCCTTTCTGAGCGCTGCTATTCGACTGTCATTCTCTAAAACGAGTTTATTTAGAGTAGAAATCTTTTGATGGAGGATTTTCATTTCTGCATCATGTTTCAAGCCTCTCTGTTGCATATTTTCTGCATGTTTGGCTTCTCGTATTTTATACTCAAAAGCAGATTTTTCTCTAAATGCTGAAATTTCATCTTTCACTTTCTGAATTTCTCTCTCAGTTTGGCTTATTTTGTTTTTCAACTCCCAGTTGTATTCTTCTATATCGTATTGCATTTTAAAATCGCGTCGAGTGCTCTGACCAACAATGACTTGTAGTAAGAAATGATGTTCTCTGTATGACGTATCAAAGCTTATGATCACGTGCTTCTATGAAGCGTTCTGATCTGCCTTGCTGACGCTTGCTCAGAGGTTACTAGAGGTCGCAACGTTCTAATTTGCATATTCATGACGCAATTGCGTTGGTTACGTGACATTTGCGCCTGGTCACGTGAGTCGAGTATGAGGAAAATGAAAGTGTGATTATCGCACAAATCTTTCGGCAAACGTGTTCTGCTGGAAATACGCGGATTAATTGCTCGGGTTGCAGGCACGGATCCCCGTTTCTGTCAACTTTGATCTCAGCAGCTGGAGCGGGAATAAAGACGCGCTTCTTCAGATAAAAGTGGTAATTACGTCTAACTTTAATATTGTTAACAATAATTGCAGCAAAGCATCATTTACTGCAGTTAGTCACTAGTGAAGCATAACTTAACTTTCATGAGCAAAAAACCCACAAAAAGGATTCAATAAATCAGCAAAGCGGGAAGAAATGTTATTTTTGTTTTTACATTCTTACTTCATTTCAAACTATAGTGTTTTTCTATGGGGTGCCATTTGTAAAGTCAAACAGTCATAATCTAACAGCAATATTTTTGGTTATTTAGCATATCATAAGAGAAAAAATTGAGAGTTCACTTTTTCAAAGTCATATTTTCACCATGTTATTCATACATTTATAAATGTTAAAGTTTCCAAATAAATATTTAGTTAGCACGCTAAATATTTAATTTATAGTTAAATATTTATGTTGCAAACTAAATATTTAGGTCTGATCTAAATACTTAGTTTGTAAAATAAATATTTAATTCACTAACTAAATATTTAATTTACTAATTAAATATTTATTTTGGAAATAAATATTTAAAATTTAAATTAAATATTTAATTTGTAAATTAAATATTTTCCAAAGAAATATTTAGATCCCAGCTAAATATTTCTTTTCCATGATGTTATTTAGCTCCACACTATAGTTTATATTTTTGGGTCAGACTTAAATATTTATTTCCCAAATACTGATTTTGCAAACTAAATGTTTAGCTCCAAAATAAATATTTAGCTGGGATCTAAATATTTATTTCGGAAAATAAATATTTAATTTACAAATTAAATATTTAGTTCCAAAATAAATATTTAATTAGTAAATTAAATATTTAGTTAGTGAATTAATGATATGCTAAATAACCAAAAATATTGCTGTTAGATTATGACTGTTTGACTTTACAAATGGCACCCCATATTTGTGATGTCCTTGTGTCAAACGAAAACAGCAGGCCAGTGGAAAGCACTAGTGACTTTGCCATTGAGGATGTTAATGATGAGCATTTGGATGACTTGGCTTTTCCTGAGGTAGACAGTGTTTGTGATACCAGGCAGTTAAGAGAGCAGTTACACAAGAACTTGTCTTCATTGTTCCTGAAGATGGAAAGTATTCTTCATGTTTCTCAAATGGCATCTCAGGAAATAGTTGATACTCTGGCACAAATCATTTCATTGTCAAAGCCTCTCATTAAAAAGACTCTGCATGATGTATTACAAAGGCATCAGGTTACTCCTTCCAAGGCTATCCTTAATGATTTGCTGAATGCTGTAAATAATGCAAATATTTTTGCTTGTGCCACAGCTAAAGGGGAGGACTTTTGTTCAAATAAACATAGAAAAACGTTTATTGAAAAGAACTACCCTGTGGTAATGCCTGTTCAGTATGTATTGGAGCCTGGTTGTACAGCAATTCATGTCCCTATATTTGAGATGATCCAAAAAATGTTCCAACATACAGACATTCTTAACAGAATTATGGAAACACATATCTCTTATGAGGGTCTTTACACAAGCCACAGAGATGGGTCATATTTCCAAGGAAATGAGTTGTTTTCTTCATCAGAGCTTTCACTGCCACTGATACTGTACATTGATGACCTTGAAATTGCCAATCCATTGGGCACTTCAAGGAAAATACACAAACTGTGTGCAGTATGCTGGATGTTTGCTGATTTGCCAAGTAAATATCGTTCAGGTCTGCATGTCATTCAGCTAGCAGCATTATGTAAGGTACCTGATCTCCACAGGTGTGGCTATGAAAAAGCATTTGGTCCTTTGCTACAAGATCTAAAAACTCTTGAGCAAGATGGTGTATTTATTGAGTGCCTCGGTAAATCTGTTAAAGGGACTATCATGTGCGTTGTAGCTGACAACCTGGCAGCCCACTCATTGGCTGGGTTTAGTCAGTGTTTCAGAACTGGATTTATTTGTAGGTTTTGCAATGCAACACGAGACCTAATTCAGTCTCATGATGTTGGAGATGGCAAGTTTAGCCTCAGAACAAAAGCCAGTTATGACCAAAATGTGCAGGAAGTTCTACATGGGGATGGTCATAGTCAGGCAGGTGTGCAACGGAACTGCATCCTGACGGAAAGTTTGCAGTATTTTCATACAACCACAGGCTTCCCTCCTGATGTCCTCCATGACCTTTTTGAGGGAATTGTACCAGTGGAGTTGGCCGTGTGTATTCAGGAGATGATCCGGCAGAAATACTTTACTCTGGAGCAGTTGAATAGAAAAATCTTGTCCTTTCCTTACCAACACTCCGATAAAGTTGACAAACCAAAGCCCATCTCAAAGAACTTCTCTACAAGGAGGACCATTGGTGGCAATGGTCATGAAAATATCACATTGCTGAGAGTACTGCCATTCATGAACGGTAATGTAGTCCCTGAGGAAGATGCTGCTTGGACAGTGTTAATGGATTTGAAAGAGGTTGTTGAGCTTATGCTGTGCCCAAGATTTGATGAAGAGTCCATACAGTATTTGCAATCAAAGATAGATGACCACAGAAAAGTGCTGCAGGACATGTTTCCTGAGTTAAGACTGCTTCCAAAACATCATTATATAGAGCACTACCCAGCTCTTATACGTGCTTTTGGGCCACTTGTTCACTTATGGACAATGAGGTTCGAGGGTAAGCATCGCTTTTTCAAGAGGGTAATACATGACACACAAAACTTTAAGAATGTGTTAAAAACATTAGCAACACGGCACCAACACATGGTGGCCTACTACCTCAGTGCACCTTCATTTTTTCAGCCGCATCAGCAGACGACACACGTTACTTCTGTCATGGTTTCAGATCTTCCTGAAGTTGCACAAGAATACATAAAGGAAAAAACTGACAGCAGAATTATTTACAGCACATCAAAGATCATTGTTGATGGCACAACTTACAGCCCTGGAATGTTTGTGTCTGTGGGGGAGGATGGGGGACTGCCACAGTTTAGCGAGATCAAAAAAATCCTCCTTGTTAACAATGATGCTGCATTTCTTTGCAAAGAACACAGGTCAAACTACACTGAACATATGAGGTCATATGAACTCTACCCAAGTTGTATGGCTATCCACTGCATGTCAGAGTTTAATGACCGCTTACCCCTTTCTGCATACTACGTGGAAGGGAAACTTCTTTTGACACCAAAACGTTTTATACTTCTACACTGAAAGTGAATTTGCATTATGTGATTTACATATATTTTAAGATTTGTTCCACCCCAAAGTTTCAAAATGCAGATGCTATGTGTGTGTGCGTGGTGGTGGTGGTGGTGGGGGGGGGGGGGTTAAGAGAGCAACATTAGACAGTAGTCTGTAAAAAGTAGTTTGCTACTAGAAGTTCTGTTTCCTTTTAGATGTATCTCACTGATTTAATATCACATGATGTGTTTTTCCAAATATTTCTCCTGCAGTTTGTCTCTGTTTTGTAAAATAATTGCTGTGTAAATTCTTATGTATTGTTTGTATGCCTGGTGAGAAAATGTAGATTATGATGTTGAAATAGGGTTAGTTTTTACCGTGACTAAATGAAATGATGGCCTGTGACCAAGGGCGTCAGTTTGTTTTCAGAATTGCTGGGGACAATAACCATACACTTGAGTGGGGTTTAAAAATTGCTGGGGACAATAAAGTAGACTAGCACAGGGGTCGGCAATCCGCGGATCTGGAGCCGCAAGCGGCTCCTCCATCCATCTGATGCGGCTCTCTGTACTTTTAAAATAATGAATGGATATTTAAATAAAATGCTTTATATTTTACTGCATTAATTTTACATCTGTATGCCAATTCTAAATGTAAAGATTGTCTGCGTAAACCTGAACAGGTCCAACCCGGTCTGACTGTGAGACCGGGTTGACGCGTCACGCTTGTGCGTAATCATATGCGCTTCCTGAGCTGGAGGATGTCAGATTCTGGGCTTCTCCTCAGACAGGCTCCTGGATGTGTCGCCACATTGGAGACAGGAACAAGCACTATTCAGCCAAAGTTTCATAATCAGGGAACATTTTCTAAGTGACAAGTCTCTGAGTGACCGGGTTTGGAAAACACTCGCTTCAGTGGGAGGAACTTTCCCGCATGCGCTCTGGTTCTGAGAGCCTGGATTTGTATTCTGAACAGTCTAAACATGTTTTAAAAAGAATCGCGTGACAAAAGTGGCACCTGCTCAGTAAAACCACCAACAGGGTGAAAAATATCTAAATATTGTAGGCAGAGACGGGCTACAACTTCTGGATCCACTTTATATAAATCGTTTTATTCATTATCGTCTTACGAAAGATAACTTTGACGTACACGAGCGACCAGGCGCGTTGCAAACTTTTCAAAAGTGTGGGGGATGTTGTCTGTGCCTAAAATAAGTTCATGCTATTCATCTTGTTATTTTAATTTCCATAATAGCGGAGCAGGTGCGAATTTTAGATGCGTCACGCATGTCTCCGCTTTAAACATGTTTAAACTGTTCAGAATACAAATCCAGGCTCTGTCTCGTTAGATTGGTGTAACTAAAGTTTGTACTGAATGAAACTTTACATTAAACCATGTTGAAAAGAAAAGGATCCCATTAAATCGTTTCCCCCTCATTTACAGTCATGACATACAGCGCAGTGCGCATGGCTCTGGGGTTAATCAAGTTTAGTTGTTTCTCTTTGCAACAATCTTCACAGGAAGGCAAAACAGTTAAATGACAGGTTACAGATATTTCCATTTGACTTTTATTTTGACGGATAAACTCAAGGATGTTCGTTGATTTCCTCCCACTGAAGAGGAAACCCGGTCTCTCTGAGGGATGTGTCACTTGGAAAATGTTATTTTTATGAAATTATGAAAGTTTGGCTGAACAGCGCTTGTTCCTGTCTCCAATATGGAGACGCATGACACATCCAGTCGCCTCTTCAGCTCAGAAAGCTCCTGTAGAGACATTTGATCACGCACAAAGTTCATGTGGAGCAGAAGCGGTCGGGCCACGGCAGGTGAAACGTTCCTAGCCTACATGAAGTGAAACTGTTTAATTGTAACATTAATATGTTACTGGACACGCAGGTCTGGTTGGTTAGACCAGTGTTTGAAGTGGAACACACACACACACACACCAATTAAAACAATGCTGATAGCATGGACTAGAAGACAGGTGATGGTTTACGTATTTAAATGATGATTAGGCTGCTGTAAAATGTAATCTCCATCCACATCCAGACACAATTATCCTCTATTCTTTCTCTATTTGCTCTGCTCTTGTCTGGGCTAGCGTAGCTGATGGTGCGCGCGGCACGCCTAACGGCTGATGCACATTTTACGCATTTGGAGAGATGGGCTGGATGCTTTGCGTTTACTGAAAGTTGGTCCACTTAACGCACGGGTGTAGACTAAATATTAATGACAAATGAATGAAAATTAAATTGGGAGTTTTTACTTCATATTTTATAAATAAAAAGGACGGGGGAACACATTTATGACGTCTTTTTAAACTAAATTTCCTAGCGCGACCTGCCTGCTTCACTAAGTCACTGCTTATTAAGGTCCAGAATTACCGTGGCCCACCCAAAAATGAAAACCTGGCACCGCGCCAGTTATAAACCTCTGCAAATTGTTGTTCTTCACTTTATCAAACTCAGACTTTGTACAGCTAATGTCAAGATGTAAAATTATTCAGTCGAGCTCTTCCGTCCCTCCCTCTCCTGCTCTCCTGGAAACCCGACATCGGCTGTCAGAAGCGGAGGTGAAGAAGGAGATGAGGCAAACAGAGTGAGTGTGACATAAAGAAACCAGACTGGTGTGGAGGTGAGCAAAACAGCTGGAAAAGTGTGGGTGTTGAATCCCCCACGGGTGCGACGCCCATGGTACCGGCTGCTGTCACCTGGTTGTGAGCAGCTCTCTGCTGTCTGAGGGTAGGCCCCGCCCACAACGCTGCGACTGCTGCGGTGTTTTCTTTACTGTGGGAAATGGGTAATAATGGCTCTTTGATGGGAACAGGTTGCCGACCCCTGGTATAAGATCTGAGCTGGTAAAACAAAAATCCTCATCAGCAGGCTTTTTTGAAAGTGGGGGGGACACAGCTGCCAATTACAAATTTTGCCGGGGACATGTCCCCGGTGTCCCCGGTTAAACTGACGCCTATGCCTGTGACTATGTAACATGTAAAATACTTACCTTTGTTCTGGACTGTTGAAAGATTGGCCATAAAATGCTAGAATGCACCCAAAGTAACCAGCATAAATAGTAAGTTTATTTTGTTATGAAATTTACAGTGTACTTTTTAAATTAAAATTGGAAAACAAGACTATAGTATATTTGACCCCCCATTTTTGACAGCTGTAATGATTGCTGAGTATACAATTATCAGACCTTGTAAAGGCTATGTGTATGCATTACCACAAGAGGTACTGCTCCACTTGTGACAGTAAATCTTTTGGGCTATTGCTTGGTACTCAGATGCCAATTCTGAGTACCACTCTGCCATAAAATGACTCATAAAAAAGGTTAATGGTATGATGTTCATTGTTTTTATATGTGTTGAGACCATTGTAGTATTTTTTAATCATCTCCATTCCTTGCTTTATACACAGGATGATGGCAGCATCTCAGAAATTCCTGCTGAGAGTTTACAGCACTACAGATGTTGTTGTGAAGGTTTCTCTAACTAAGCGGCCTGAGTCAGTGGAAGAACTAATCACCATACTCCGGGAGAAGCTCAACCCAAGGCTGGACTTTGAGTTTACCTTACAATACGAAGACCCTGACTTTGATGGGCAACTTACCTGTCTACATGATATTCAAGAGCTACTAGAGAAGAGCACATTAAAAATAGTGCGATCCGAAAGTGATGCCAGTTCTTGTGCAAGTTCTGACACAGACATCCTTCCTCATGTGCCTTTAGCTCAGCATCTGAAGTGTTGGCCTGACACTTTCCCAGTACCTACCTTTTCTTACGAAGTCGAACATGTCCTTGAGAAGGGAAATAAAGCCTACGAGATGTCTGGAAAGCAACTGAAATTGACACGAGCCCAAAAGCACAACATCTTGGAGACCATGGCTTCAGTGATGCACACCTTCAAAGCCTATCCGAGTGACAGAGATGTGTGTTTGGCAGCAAAAGCTCTTGTTACCACTCATCCATGTCTTAATGAGCCTGGAAGTTATGGTTGGAAGGCCAGTTTAAAATTTAAGATGGGAAATTACCGCACCAAGCTAGCCAGAGCCGGATGCGCGGAGGTGTCCGTGAATGCTGGTAGAAGGAGTATCAACAACCCAGAAGGAGAGTATCCCCACTCCAACATAAAAAGAGCACGAAAAGCTGAGGTAAACTACCTCCCAAACTTTCCAAGAGGAGAAGATAAGGCCAGTCTGGAGGAATTGAGAGTCCAGATAAAAAATGAGGTTGAGAAGACCGAGCCCAACAAAGTAATGATTGAAAAACTGATGCAAACAACCTTTGCACTGCGTCGCCATGAGATCGTTCAAGAAAACCCAATGGTGAAGGACTTCTTAGAGAAATGGCCAGCTCTGCGATTTCACTCACAGGTTGGTGTTGCACTGATTTTTTTTTCTTATTCAATTTAACTTGAAACAATGCAAGTTCAGCAGATCTTCAGATTCAGATTTATTTATTTAACATGTTAAACAAAGTACTTCTTATAAACATTGTTCAAATAGGTAGAAAAAATATCTTAAAGCGCTACAACTAAGCACCCTATTAGTTGTGGTGCTTCAACATTAACTCATTCGCTGCCAGCCGTTTCCTGATCGGTAAATCCCTTTCGCTGCCAATGTTTCTCACCAATTTTATAGTTTTTTTTAAGAGTCACAGAACGTTGTGTGCTAGGATGTTGACGCCAAAACAACCAAAACAAAGTGGAGACTCACCTTAAATCATGAAGAATCTGCGCATTTCGAGCATTATCCGTTCTTTCATAATCCGTTGTTGAATTGTGATCGGCAGAAGCTTTTCCGGTTCGCACCTCACTTTTTTTTACAGCAGCCACCCAAAACGATCTAACACATGGATTTTCTACTTCCTGATCACGTCATGTGTGATATATGCGGATGAAGATCGGCTTTAGAGGTGAGAGGTTCAGTCACGATGCGGGGGCTCATTCCAATGCCCACACAGTAAAAACATTCAAATGGCGACTTAAGTCTTCATTGGCAGTGAACGGTGGGATCTAAAATGACGACTTTAGTCATCAATGACAGTGAATGAGTTAAGCCGGGCGTACACTGTGCCACTTTTTCACTCGTAGCACTCAGCTTCAGCTCAAACTGTACGACTTCCTCGCAGGGCAGATCTCACGAGTCATGTGCTCACACTGCACGACCCAGTTCTTGGATGCGACCTGACTGCTCACACTGCACTCCTGGTAGCAACACGTCGGCCCTAAAATATGCTAAAAATAGCAGTTTTTACTCAACACGTGAGACTTTTTTGTCTTGTTTTGCCTGTTGTCCTTCGGGAGTGCTGCAGGACACACAGGGATTTATGGGGGCTGGATGAGTAAAATGAAATAAAGAAAGTAAATCTGTGTTTTGTGATCAGTTTAATTTGACATGAACACGACAAACACTCTTTCTTGACAATCTTTGTGAGTAAAAAACGTGTAGAAATTAAAACGAACAAAGTGTGTTATTAGGGAAATAGCGGGCGAGCGGTGTTGATGCAGGATTGCGTATGCGCCGTGAGCGGTTCTGATACTTTTTGCGTCGCAGCTGCTCGCAGCGCCGCTTCAAAAGTGCGATACCCTCACGAGGGACGAGCAAAATATTAAACACGCCAGAAGTTTGTGCGAGCTCTCGATAGCTGGTCATGTGGTGTTAATTGCCTCTCGTAACCCCCTGTATACTACACGACACTCGGCGCAAAACTCGCCCCGATTTTGTGGATTGTCGCACGAGTGGAAAATCAGCTCAAAAAAGTGAAAAAGTCGCACAGTGTACGCCCGGCTTTAAGTAGACAGGCAACCACAGATAAAACTTGCTGAGTCTATAATGTAGGAACTGATGTTCTCTTGAATTAAAGAGAAGTTTTCTTACATTCATTAGGCTCATGATGCCAAAAAATTTATTTCAGATTTGTGATACAGTTGTGTTGGAAAGGTTAAGTTCAAATTGAAAAACAAATGTTAAAATGACAGCATTAAGATAAAACTGGGCACAAATTTGGAAATCCCTCTTTAAATATAAGATTTCTCAATTTGGCCAGTAATTTTGCTTTATATTGGATGTTTTCATGTTCCTGTACTTTTAGGTTTGTGCGGAGTTCCACCGAGTCACAAACATCAACCTGCAGAAACAGTTCTATGCTGAACTTGACAGACACACACCACGACTTATGGCTCTATACAGACAGAAGGCCACATGCACTGGCAAGATATCGGAGGCTCTGCGAAACTTTCTGAATCATTATGATCATCAGGTGAATATTGATAAAGATAAAATTGCTACCACAAATTTAAAAAGTTTCTATGTTAATCACTCAATTTTGCTTGTTTTTAGACTGCCTATGGGCTACTGTTAATTGCTGGGAACATCTGTTTTCTATATACACCAAAGACAAATATAAATGCAACACTTTTGTTTTTGCTCCCATTATTCATGAGCTGAACTCAAACATCTGAAACTTGGTCCACATTCACAAAACACCCATGACTTTCAAATACTGTTCTGAAATCTGTCTACATGTGTGTTAGTGAGCACTTATCCTTTACCAAGATAAACCATCCCACCTCACAGGTGTGGCATACCAGGGGGCTGATTAGACAGCATGAATAATGTACAGGTGTGCCTTAGACTGCCCACAATAAAAGGCCACCCTAAAATGTGCAGTTTGATCAAACAGCACAATGCCACAGATGTTGCAACCTTTGAGGGAGCGTGCAATTGGCATGCTGACTGCAGGAATGTCTACCAGAGCTGTTGCCCATGAAAGGAATGTTCATCTCTCTACCATAAGCCGTCTTTAAAGGCGTTTCAGAGAACTTGGCAGTATATCCAACAGGCCTAAAAAATGGGAGCAAAAACAAAAGTGTTAGTCTAGATAACCCTGAAAAAAAAATGTTTAGGGTTTTTGTCAAATGAGTAAGAAACAAGCTCTTTGTCATGAGAGACAGGTTGTGTCTCAAAAGAAATGTCTCCAAAATTATGCAGAGCCTAATGTGTCATAAACATGTATTATCCCCAGGCAATGACACCTGTAAACTTAGTGTTAAATTAACTCTTATTTTCTTTTCCCTTTATAGGAAGCACCTGATGTCGATGTGAAACGGACTGCAGTGCTACGTGCCCTTCCAGTATACCTGCGGGAGGAAGACCCAGAATTCTTTAAGACATGTGATGTAAGTGTCTCTTGCATTACTTAAATTCTACCAGTGAGATAACATACCATGGATTATTTTATATGGTTTTATTACAAAGCAGCTTCACAATTGCTTTAACAAACATTGCATTAGACTTGTGTGTTGGGGGGGATCAAACCTGGGCTCAAATTAGGGTGTGTGTGTCACAAGTGGGGGTGGGAGGAGGCAAACCCAAATAGATTGTGCACACACAGAAACCCTGATTTCGCTATTGACCCTTTGCACGAGACTGCCCCGTTCTCCATGATGGTCGGCAAAAAGACCGTTTACACACGTCAAAATTCCGGTGAAGCTAGTCAAAACAAGCCCGTTGTAGCCCTTTATCGCTTTTATTTACTTGGTTTCACAGTAAAATGGTAACAACTTGCTACGTGGCCAGCTGCACTAACAGAAGGATGTAAAGTCAACTCATTTCTTTATTTTTTTTTCAAATAACGTTGATTGAGACTGAGGACGGAGATGAACTACAGCTATCAATCAAACGGACTAGCAACCCTCAGGTTTACAGCGAATGTGTTTTTACCTGGTAAAATTAACGTTTATTTAATTCATGACGAGGACAGGGACAAATGTGATGCGTTCTTCTGATGGATATTTCACCATGGAAGACGCACGCATACCGCGGTACCGTCCACTGTAGTGAACATGCATATTACACCAGAATTCCGTCGCCCCGTTTTTTTAAGATGGCGACTGTACGTCTTATGTTTATAAATGTTCTTCTGTAGCTGACAAGCAGAGCTAAAACACGTTGTTTTACAGGTATTATTCTCATGTCATGATGTGTTTTCATATATTTATATTTTAAACACTTGTCCATGAAAAGTTCATCAACTCTGCATCAGCCAGGTACTTCCTTAAATTTGAAGCAAGAACGCGGTAGTCTAAACGCTACTCGTTAATTCTGGTCGGCGCTCATTTTCCTATTTCGCGGGGCAGGGGCACAAACTTTCTGCTTCCTGTTTTGTTGCTCTCCTGTGTCTTCGTTTTGTTTCTTTCTCACATTCTTTTTGATGTTCTCTTTTTCATGTGATGAGTTGGCATCCTGTTTCTCCGACTTATGTTTTACTGCAGTTTTGCGTTAACGCACCAACAAAACCATACCTGTTGGTAGATTTGTAGCAAAGCGTTGATGACGTCGACGGCTTGATTCTAAAAATTCGTTGACGTCAGATCCAGTAGTCGACGCACCATGCCCACTTGTTGCATCCCCAGGAGTTTGTAAATAGAGGAGGAATCTGCCTGTTTTTCCTCTAGTTCGCCCTCTTCTCCGCCTTCACTAACATCTCCGCCAATTACCGAAGACCCGGAACAATGTCCGTCCGCTACTAGATTCCTTTCCTGTTTTGCCCGCCTTCGTCTCCCGCTCGATACCCAACCCTAGTTGCTATAAACACACAAATCTAATTAATTAATTTACACATTTTCTAAAAGAATAGTAAATAGAGGACTCTTGATGTGTCACTAACGTGTTACCCACAAGACTGCAGAATATTTTGCTAGATTACAAATAATGCTTGTCACGGCCCTTCAAGTCAACCTTACTTATTGATACTGTGTTTATTCCAGGCGGGCACGCTAGATGAGACGAACCTGACTGACACTCCAGTTGCCCTTCTCACAGTGGTTGCTGACGGCTCTGCTGAGACCAGTCCATTTCAGTCCTTCAAGCATGGCTGTTGTGGTGGAAGGCGACTTGGTGATCCGTGATATTGCCAGATTTGCTGATGCATATGCCTTATTGTTTGGCTTGATCTATGCTCTGCATTTGGACTACCCCAGGAAACTAGTTCACACATTCACCTTTGTCCAGAAAGTCTTCATGGGGCTTGATGATGGCAAACCACTGAAACCCAGCCTTCATGCTCTTAGAAATGATTTGTTACAGAGTGAGTAGTTATGAAAGATATGCAAGGCAACTGGTTGTTAGGACAGGCACACTGTTACTGAGCACCTTCTTTGAAGTATTTTATTTAAAGCACTTTTAAGTTTTCTACAGGCTTTGGGTGGATGTAATTCCCATCAGTTTACCTCATTTTTTTTATACAAGGTTATTTGGGTGCCGATAAACATTATTTGAACCTGTTAAAAAATATTTATTTTATTTAATTTTTGTTTATTTAAAAAAATCTCTTTTGTGTTTGACCTTTTGTTTTTCATTTTTATATATTAGAAGAAAGATGACTTTTAGGACTGATGTTCTTTTATGATTTTATAAAAATTTTATTAAATGTTATTAGCAGCATTTTGTACGCTCACTTGTGCTCCAGTCCATGTCAGTGGTTCCATGTTGATGGTTTTATAAAAAAAACATTTATGTGATGTTTTTCACAAGTCCATAAAAATGTTAATAAACAAAATGTTAAGTGAATCGCCATATACTTTTTTTGAGTGGTCCACACACAATTAAAAAAGAAAGGTAATTTAATTAGTTAATAATCATATTACTTGAGTTTAGGTTGTAATATAATTACATTCTGTTGCATCAAATAATTTAACTACAAGTAACACAAAAATGTTAAAATTAAAATATATAAGTTTTAAGTTTATCTTAATTATTTAAATATAGAATATTATCTGAAAATTTTAAGTTAACAATAAATACAAATTTTGAGTACAACCATACTTAAAACATATGGTTTGTCTACTTAAAACTTTTGTGGAAACTGATTACCTCAAAAATTTTAAGTTCAGTCAACTTATTCGGGTTTACAGTGATAAGGTGAAAAAGTAAGAATCCAGGCAGCAGTTTTTCTGGAGAGTTTAGAGGAGATGCAGGAAGATGAGAGACAGACAGGACAGGAAAATAGTTCAATAAAAACAAGAAAACAAAACAAAAAGTAATGTAGGTAGATTTATCTCCACTACACGTTTTTACCTGTATAAAGCAATAAGTTATACACATGTCACATTTATACATCTGATACAGCTCAGATCACCTTCAAAACTCAGTCACACACCCAGGGCTGTTTCAAGACATTTTGGGGGCCAAGGCAAAATGACCCCCCCCCCCCCCCCCCCCCAATAACTGGGCTCCCCAGAAGCCTCTGTAATTCATACCCTCTCCAGGAGTATTAGTTATACAGTGTTTGTAAAAGCTCCTCAGACATCACTGACATGTTCTAATATCATCAGATGAAAAACGTTGGTTACGTATTGTAACCCCAGATTCTATGAGTCTAGTCGCAGCCCTTAAGCGAGCTGCTATTGGAAGGGTGATCTCAGCATCAGCCAATCATGAAGAGCTTAAATGTACGCCCACCACGTGGGCACCCCTTGTGGGTTATATAAGTGGAACGACCCCACTGTTTGCCTCCGATGGCTCTTAGTCCTAACAGAACCAGTGGGGCCAGTGGCTTAAGGGCTGCGACTAGACTCATAGAATCTGGGGTTACAATACGTAACCAATGTTCTATTTCGTCTAGTCTTAGCCCTTAAGCGAGCTGCTATTGGAATAATGCGCAGCTGGATGGGTTTACGCCACACTGGTTAGCTCAACCAATGGACACACCCAACAAGTCTCCTTTTAGTGAGGGTCGCTCAGCCTCACACAGTAAACCTGTGGCTACGCGCAATAGTGGGAGGGATCGAACTCCCCTTTGGCGATTTATGTAGGCTGTCGCCACCTGGCTGTCTGTGTGAACTTCGGCATGACGGCCATCGAGAAGGGCAGCAAAGTGTCTGAGCGCATTCCTCACTGTCATAAGCTCCAACACATTTATGTGCTCGTGCGTGTGGGAGGGCCAGCGATCTGCCGCCGTATGGGACAAGCACGTGCCCCCCACCCCAGACAGTGACGCATCCGTAAACACAGATACGTGTGACGTAGGACTTCCGATGGGAACCCGTGTGAGAGGATGCAGGGGTTCCCCCAGTGAGCGAGACCCCCGCCCACTGAGGGGGGAACCCTCAACATACGTCTCTTCTGACGTATCGGGTGTACCCGGAGGCGGATGAGCGTTGCAGGCGCCTCGAGCGCAACAACCCTAGTAGCACCGCCGAGTGGGCTGCAGCCATCATGCCCAGAAGTCTCATGACTAACAGGGCTCTCACGATCTTGCGGGGTTGCACGCGGGAGATCACCGTGGTGAGATCTGCCGCTCTCACAGGCGACAAACGTGCTCTCATTAGGGAGGCGTTCAGCTCCACCCCGAGAAACACAATCGACTGGGATGGAAGGATGGAGTTCTTCCCCCAGTTTATAGAAAACCTCAGGGTTGACAGATGCTCTGTTAATTTCCTGGTTTGCTCTGACGCCTCGTCCTCGGACCAGGGGCATCGGAGCAGATCGTCCCGGTAAAATAAAACCCTCGTTCCCGCCGTGCGCAGTGGCTGCAGCGCGGTCTCCAGACATTTGGAGAAAGTGCGCTGGGCTAGCGAGTAGCCGAAAGGGAGGCATTCGTGCGCGCGTTTCGACAGCGGACGTGTGCTCGAGGTCACGTGAGGATTGGGTTCGCGCCCTTACCGCCGTCGCTTGTACCAGAGAACTGGGAGCGACCCATGGAGGGCTGTGCTCGAAAGGGCGAGTGTGAAACAGCTGGAAGAGGCTGATCCGCACCGCAGAGCGTGGAGTCCAAGGATGAAGGACGAGTGGGAGCCGGGCCCGTGCATGGGAACGACAAAGTGCCAGCGGATGGAGCCGCGCAACGTGCACGCTTTGCGCGTGGTCGCGACAGCACCATGACATCCCGTCCCACCCAACGCTGTGGGGGAAGAAGGATGAGTCGGGCCTGGCCGTAGGCTGGGGCCGTTGCGCAAATGGAGCGCACCCTTACAGCAAGCCGTGTAACATGACCGAGTCAGACTGTGTGAACATGCAGATGTGCTGCAGTGCTTGGTGCGGGGAACATCATGTGTGAGGATTCGGCAGAGGGTTCTGCAGAGGACTGTAGGACTGTGCTCTCGATGTGACGTTTTTTGGGTTTTATTTCAAAACCAAAATCATTCACAGAGTTAACATTAGTCATAAGCACACACATTCCTCCAACGAGTCATTTTCGTGGTTGTTTTCGGCGAGATTCCTGTGACTGAGACTGCCAAGGCTGTGTCTGCTGGCTCATTCGGAACCATTGGCCGCCAACTCCCTGGTCCCGCCTCAGTGGGAGGCCGGCTCTGCGGGGCTGGCCATGCAGCTGGGCGCCTGGAGTTTCCTCGCCGTTCGTCCCATCCTCTGGGGTGGTTCTTGGCCTCGACGCCACACAGCGAAGCCAAGTCCGGCTCCAGTGAGGGAACGGATGGCCAGCCCAGGTCGGAGAAGCCCTCGACCTTGGTAATGGGCACATATGTGGAAATTGGCGCCTTGAACCCGGCAGGCTCGGAGAAGGCGGCGGACCAGCAGCTCATGGCAGCGGGGAAGCGTGGCCAGACGGGTTCTGGACAGCGCGTCTGCGTCGCCCCAAAAATTCCCGTCAATTCATCTGCCTCAGGCGGAGCCGGTTCTGGAACGGCTAGCCCCTTGCGGGCCGCAGCCGCGGAGATGATGGTGGGCAACTCCTGGAGCAGTGCTCTAACTGCTGGCAGGGAGGAGCGAGAAGCCACTGGGGCAGAAGGACCCGCTGAGCGAGGCTTGTCGACCTCCGTGTTGTACAGGAGGGAAAAGGGGCTACGGCAGCCAAGCTCGTCGTGCTCCTCACGAGGCTCGTCGACCTCCTTGTTGTACAGGAGGGAATAATGGCTGCGGCATGCAGCCTCGTCGTACTCCTCACGAGGCTCGTCGACCTCCGTGTTGTACAGGAAGGAAGAAGGGCTATGGCAGCCAGCCTCACGGTCGACCTCCGTGTTGTACAGGAGGGAAGAAGAGCTATGGCAGCCAGCCTCGTGGTCGACCTCCGTGTTGTACAGGAGGGAAGAAGAGCTATGGCAGCCAGCCTCGCGGTCGACCTCCGTGTTGTACAGGAGGGAAGAAGAGCTATGGCAGCCAGCCTTGCGGTCGACCTCCGTGTTGTACCGGAGGGAAAAAGGGCTATGGCAGCCAGCTTCGTCGTACTCCTTGCTGTCGATGACATCGTCCAGTCGGTAGGAGCCAGCCGGCTCCTGGCCGACGTTGAAGAACTGTAACGCTTTGTCCAGCGAGTACATGCCAGCCACCGGAATTTCCTCGTCGGTGGTGGGGGTGAAGTACTCGACCCGGCGGACCTTTTCAGCCACGGGCAGAGCGGTACAAAATGGGCACGAGGCCTGGGGGTCAAGGCCAGGCCAGCGTGGTGAGCCCCGAGACAGACCTTACACTTGGCGTGCAGGTCGCAGCTGGAGATGGATTCCGTCTGGCAGGCCGGGCAGATCCTGGCGTCGCTGGACATGGTCGGTGAGTAGATTTTTCTTGTATAATTGCTCTTAAAGGAAGCTCTTAAGCTTGGCGTGAAGAGAAAACGGAGGCGAACAGTGGGGTCGTTCCACTTATATAACCCACAAGGGGTGCCCACGTGGTGGGCGTACATTTAAGCTCTTCATGATTGGCTGATGCTGAGATCACCCTTCCAATAGCAGCTCGCTTAAGGGCTAAGACTAGACGAAATAGAACTAAATTATCAGACATGATGTCTCATCTGCTGCTTTTCTAAACTTGCAAAAAGTAACAAAACCATTTGAAAGCCACTATTTGTGGATTCTCTGAAAGTTTCCATGGAGTGTGTGACAACTTATTTTTTCATTGATCCTATCGTCTAATCTCACAGCTGAAACAAGCATCCTTAATAATCTGTGCACAGGAAGTTTACCGATGCTGTAGTAAAACAAAAGGTATAATAATTTCTTATTAATAAAACCTTTTTGCAGCACTAAAGCAGAAAATGACATTTTGTAATTAATATGCTAAATATTTACACATGAATTGTTTTAGAGCCCTTTTATTGGCAGAATCTGATATTAATTTAGTTCTTACGAAAAATGGGTCCCAACATGGTTTGTGTGGCGTTGCCATAGTGTGACGTCATAGGCACAGATCCCCTGTCCTCTTTTTTGGAAATGGAAATATGGTCACCCTATAATAAACAAACTGTCCACCCGAGCTTTTGCACTGCACAGAGACGCTTCGCTGCCTACGACTTTGAACGTCAGTTGAGAGCGGTTGAGAGTCAATCTCATGCAGACTGACCAATGAAGAGAGGGCCTCAAGTTAAGAACCTCTCCTCATTGGTCAATCCACACGAGGTGGGTCAAAGGTTGGGCTGCATGGTGGCGCAGTTGTTAGCACTGTTGCCTTGCAGCACGGAGGTCGCAGGTTCGAAACTCGGCTGTGGCCTTTCTGCGTGGAGTTGCGTGTTCTCCCCATGCATGCGTGGGTTTCCTCCGGGTACTCCGGTTTCTCCCACAGATCACAACATGCCCTATAGGTTATAAATTGTAAGTCGCTTTGGATAAAAGCATCTGCTA